ATCCCTTAATTTTAGAAATGTGGAAACTTTTGCCAAGATGAGGTTAAGTGACTTGTCCAAGGTCACACACATAGTAAGTGGTAGAGCCAGAATTAGAACTCAAGTCCCATGACTCCAAGGTTAGTGCTCCAAGATAACTGAGCAAAATCCTCCCAAAGTGAAGTGCAGGTATTTTGCTTGTTTTGTTCTGATGTGCATATTTTTCTTCCTTCCTTCCTTTTTTTCTTTCTTTAGATTTGTGAAGCACTTTTTTTACATTTAACTTTTATCTTTTCCTCAGTTACATGTAAACAATTTTAGCATTTGTTTTTTAAGATTAGGAGTTCGAAATTCTCTCTCTCCTTCCTCCCGTCCCCCACTTTGAGAAAGCAAGCAATTTGATATCAATTATACATGTGCAGACATTGGTGTGTGTCTTTTTAAGCTTCAGCAGTGGAGACCTTATCTTTTTTTTTTTTGGCAGTTGGGGTTAAGTGACTTGCCCAGGGTCACACAGCTACTAAGTTTCAAGTGCTTGGTCTGAGGCCAGATTTGAACTCAGGTCCTTCTGAATTCAGGGCTGGTGCTCTATCCACTGAGCCACCTAGCTTCCCTTCTCCGCCCCCCCCCCCCGGGACCTTATCTTTGTAAATGTTTTGGTCCCTAACACTGAAAAGTTACACTTAAATGAATGGCCGTGGAAGATTAGAGTAAAATAGCAGAAAAATTATAACATTAGAATATAAGCTGCTTGTGAGTAGGGATTGTTTTATTCATTGAATTTATATCCCTAGTTCTTTATACAGTGCCTGGCATTTAGTTGGTGTTTAATAATTGTTGATTGATAAATGGTTAGTTTCAGTGAAAAGAGCTATGATATTTACTAAAATATAGAAATTACGTCATTTCCTTGCTATGGACTTGAAGGATTACTTGCTTCAGAATCCCAGAGAATGCTATCATTTTTGTTTTTAATACAGGAACAGCAGTTTTTGCTTGTTTGTTTATCTGTATTTTCATTTCCTTTATATAGTGGATCAGAGCATAACCATTTGCAATTCTATATGTCCCAGTAACCAGAATTGGAGAATTCTGTCAGTGTCTTTCATTACAGAGGTTGGAACTAATGCCTCTTTTTACAGTCTGGTGGCATGTGTGGTACTTCTCCACCTGCATGCAAATGTCTTGTTTGTCTCTGAAGTTAGCATTTGAGAAAACAGCCTCGTGATAGCAGTAGTCATGCATCAGCGATATATTCATTAGCAGTGTAGTGAACATACAAATGGAAGGGTTCTGTGATTAGAACAGTGTTTCCTAGTACAGTGGCTCATTTCTAATCTCTCATCTATGGTTTGTGTATCTGGAGTACTGCTCTGCTTAAGTATCAGAGGAAATTATTTCTTCTGACAGGTTGCTTCTTTACTTAATGTTCCTTATAGAAGCACCTCCCCATCCCTGTAAAAACAGAAATTGCGTATTAATAGATAATATAGCCTATTCACTTAATAGGTTTACTTGTCCAACTGTTGACTTACTATATGCCACCATTATGGATATTTTGACATTTTGGGCCATTTACTAATTTTAAAAGGTTTATCAATGTATACTATTTCAGGACTAAAGTTCTACTTCATTGCTTCTTTTTTTTGGCTAGGCAATGGGGTTAAGTGACTTGCCCAAGGTCACACAGCTAGTAAGTGTTATGTATCTGAGGCTATGTTTGAACTCAGGTCCTCCTGAATTCAGGGCCTGTGCTGTATCCACTGTACCATCTAGCTGCCCCTTACTTCATTGTTTCTTTATGGTGTGGGGATGACTTGGTCTCTTGATGAGTGTGACAGTGGATTGTGAGTTCCTTGAGGGCAGGGACTGACTTTTTTTTTTTTGGCTAGGCAATGGGGTTAAGTGACTTGCTCAGGGTAACACAGCTAGTAAGTGTCAAGTGTTTGAGGCTGAATTTAACTCAGGTGCTCTTGACTCCAGGGCTCTATCCATTGTGCCACCTAGCTTTTCCTGGGACTGACTTTTTGCCTTTCTTTGTGTCCCTAATGTTTAGCACAGTGCCTGGCATATAATAGGCTGGAATAGCCAGGTGGCTTAGTGAATAGAGTCCAAGGTCTAGAAATTAGGAAGATTCATCTTTCTGGGTTCAAATCTGGCCCTCAGACACTTAGTATGCTATGTGACCCTGGGCAAGTACTTAACCCTGTTTGCCTCATTTTCCTCATCTGTAAAATGAGCTGGAGAAGGAAATGGGAAACCACTCTTGTATTTTTGCCAAAGAAAACACCGAAATGGGGTCACGCAGAGTTAGACATGACTGAACAACAACAAATAAATGTTTATTGACTGACTGAAAACTTTGTCTGGTTCTTACAGGCTGGAGAGGCTTTGAGTATACCACTTAACAGATTATACCACTGGTTGGAAGATAAGCCTAACTTAGGTCAGAAGGGCTTCTCACCAGGTTGAGCCATAAAATGATGTACTTTTCAGTCATAGCAAATCACACTAATAAGTTATAGGAGGACTGAAATTTGTATGGGTAGGAGGAGTCTCCACAGAAGTGAAAGGTTTCCTTGAAACTCTTTGAAATATTGCTGTCACACTGTAAGTGCTTAGTAAATACCTGTTAAATTGTTGAATCCAGAAATAGTGGAAGAATTTTAGGATATTCAAATTATTAATGCGTCAAAGTGGATAGAAAGCTGGTCTTGAAGCTAGGAAGACCTGAGTTCAAGTTTCCCACTATGACATACACTGGCTGTGTGACCCTGGGCAAATTACTTAATCTCTCTGTGCTCTAGGCAATTCTCTAAGATTTTAAATTGCAAAGAAGGTTCCCACCTATACTGGTAGAGCAAATCACTTCACTCAGAAATTCCCTGTACTTAAAAAATCACATCTAACTTGTGATACCTCTTATCTTGGAATTTGAGTATGATTCATTGTGACTTATAAGCAGCTAGATGGTACAGTGGATAGAGGGTTGGGCCCAGGGTCAGGAAGACCTAAATTCAGGTCCCTTACTAGCAGAATAACCCTGGGTAAATCCCTTAACCTCTCTTATTTTCCTCATTGGTAAAATGGGGATCATAATAGCTTCTACCTCCCAGGGTTGTAGTGAAAATATAAGATAATATTTGTAAAGAACTTTGCAAACCTTTAAGCATTATATAAATGCTATTTATTACTTGGAAGGGTAAAAGTGAGAAATTAATCCTTGTTTACCTTCATTGCCTCTAGCCTCATAGTGACTGAGCTATAATATAGATTTAGTAGTCATTTCAGAGTTAGTCATAGACATTTTCAGGAGCTCATAATTCTTCACCATAAACCAACCCTTTTCCTCTCCATATCGGAGCACATTCAATTTGGATCTTTGCTCTTGAGTAAAAATTCAATCAGAAAAAGCACAGTAATACACAGTAGCACCCTCTTTAAAAGTGAATATCTCTGTGTTTTAATAAAAAAAAAATTCACAAGGAAAATTGCATTAGAAATAGGAGACAACAGCTGTGTTCCTGGTTGCCTAGACAGTAAAGGACAAGCCAGGGTACTTACTGTCCTCTGAGTTTTCATTGTTTTATTGACAAAATGGCAAATTGTGGCAGATTCTAAGCTGATTGACTGGCTGAGAGTGAGCTCTCTTGGTCAATAGACAAGACCTTCATTTGTCCTGCTTACACAGTGGATAATCAGAGGACAGAGAGTTGACTGGTACTTTATAGGACTTCTTGGATCTGTCCAAAAGTCTTTTCTCATAAAGATGGACCATTTGGTTAGCAGATGCACTGTTGGGAAAAATAACTCGAATTTGGAAGTCTTTCTTATTCTTCCAATTTTCTGCTTTAGCCACAGAGATACAGGAAATAGTAATCAGAAAATATTTATTAGCATTTACTATATGCTTGGTTCTATCCACTAGATGTAGGAAATGCAAAGATGTATGAGATATGGTCTCTGATCTCCAGGAGTTTACAAAGTCTTGTACAGGTTGTATATACATGAAAACCAGGTAAAAAGATTAAATGCCAGCTAGTCAGGAAAGATTTCACAGAGGTATCAGATTTGATTTGGGCCCTGAGGGATAGATAGGTTTTTGATGAAAAGAAGATAGGGAGGTTATTACAGGAAGGGAAAATTTTGTGAGCAGAGGCTTGGAGAGTGCAAAGTGTGTTCAGAGAGCACAATCTGACCCAAAGAAAGGTATAGTAGGAAATAAAACAGAAAGACAGCTATGTAGGAGTTAGATTGCAAATGACATTAAATGCCTGGCTAAGAAATTTGAAGTAAGCAGCATCCATGGTTTTGTACAAACCTTGATTCAACAAACATTTATTAAGTACTTAACTAATCCAGAGTACATATAAAGTTTTAAGAAGACATGGCTTCTGTCCTCATGAATCTTATAATCAAATAACTATGAGTTATTAGTACATGTTTTCCTGTCTTCCAAATTTTAAGAGGATTTTTCGCTTGTCCTGAGTTAGTGAATAAGAGGACAGTCTCGAATATGATTATTGTAATACTCTGAAATAATGCAGTCCTTGGAAATTGATATTCTGGGCACTGACATTTTGGGGGACATCCATTTCTAGTATTGTTTTACTAAAGTCCCAAAGTACATCATCTAATCTTTACTCATCAAATAGCTACATTGCAGAAGGACCAGTAGAATTTGTTCTATTATTTTGTACTTGAAAAGACAACAGAACAATAAAAACTGATGAATTGTGAATCAATATGGATGGATTACATTAATCAAATATTGTGATTATTCTGTGATAAGTATGATAGCTAAGTCTAAATTTGTGGGTTGAATTTTCATGCCTTTCTTGCGATTAGCATTAGAAAAAGTGAGGAATATGGAAACATTAGCTGTTTTTTTCTCTCATCTTTTCAAGTACTTAAAAAAATTCCCCCTTGTTTCAAACACAGATTTTTTTTCTAATAAGAAAACTCCTGAATTCAATATATTTATGGGGTATTTAAAGTCTCTACTTTTTTATTCCTTGCAGAGATACAGAATATAAAGGACTGCAACTCTCACTGGATCAGATCACAGCCACCAAACCATCCTTCTCCTATACCAACACCACACCCACCATAACTGACAACCGAAAGGGGAACAAGCCCCGCCTCTCGAGCACAAAATCAAAATCCAGGACATCTCCATACCCTCAGGTATGTGCAAGGGTTGCTGCAGATATTTTCTTTTCATTTCATTTGGCTTGATTTTGTTTGAGGAAACCATGGAATTGATTGGAATGAGTCGTCCGGCTTTAATCCGATTGAAATTTCCATACATCTAGAAGTTTGTCTTCCCACTGATGACTTTTTTTTAAAAATAACCTGTTTTCTCTTAATCCATGGGACTTTCCCACTTTTCAGCTAGCAGAAACAAATTTCAGAGGATGGGTTGATTTCTTTTTGTTTGTTTGTTTTGGTTGCATTTCTTTCAATGCGCTAAGTCTTACATGGAGAATAGCACACTCCAGCTTTTTGGCTAAGTATCTTTTCCAAGAAATTTTATCCTAAACTATTTTAAGGAAGCAGCCACTTTGCCAAGATATAGAAAGGCCTGGAGTTAGGAGTAAAAAATTCTAATCCTATGACCAAAAATTGAAGGGGGAGCAAAGTAAGAGACTTAGGCAAAGGATCAAGGATGTGATTCCTTGTGCGGTTTAGAAACAGATGGGCTGTTCATAAGGAAGAAAGAAGCAGAAAGGCTATTCCAGATGGTAGGAATGATCAAAAAAGTAGCTCTGAATTCACTCCTCTTTGTCAAGGGTGTGGATAGAGACCCAGAGTAAGTACTAACAGGAATGGGAAGAAATAAATGTCATGATTCTTTTGGGGTACACAGGGTCTAGATTTTGGCAGGATATACCAAAGAGAGAAGAAATATCTTCTCTTGCCTGAAGAATTCACTAGAGGACTCAGGATTCTCAATTTCAAATACCCAATGTCCTGTGGCCCTCTTAATTTTTCATTTTATCTTCAAAGAATCATCTCTAGTTTCCAATAGCTCCCATGAGCGGCAAATGCTAAGAGATTGTCTCTGCGGTTCTAACAGATAGAGTAACTTTATACAACACAGAACAAAACTGGGTTTATGAGCTTTCCCTTTCCTCGACTTGTTGCTTCGAGGTACCTTTTTTTTTTGTCTGTTAATATCCTTTAAAGGGATGAAATCAGAATGTCAGTGGGTTCAGGAATCGTCAAATTATCATGGCTAAGTGAACCTGTTATCTGATTTTTGATTGCTGTAAACACTGGTTGTGTTAGGGAGGTTTAAACTTTGTATAGGAGGACCTTGTTTCTGTGAAGTCTCTCAGTGGTAAAGAAGAGAAGGACAATTTCTTGTTGACCTTAGATGCTGACCAGTATATGCCTTCAATTTGGAGGACTGAAAGCATTGCAACTTGTAATTAAAATGACTAGAGATGACATTCTGTCTCATTAAGACAAAGATTTTAATGAAATTTTCTTAACTTCTGTCAGTGAACTTTACTCTTTCATAATTTTGAAGAATCTGTTATGCCTTCAGATACCTTTATCTAACCCCCTTTACTTAAATAAAAATGCTGGGCCATATATGAGGCAAGAAAATAGATTTGTTTATTGTTGTATTTTTTTAAATTACAAATTTGGAACCAGAATCCAGGCTCCTGATTATTAATCTAGTTGTATCACTGAGACTCCGTTTTATGGTTTTCTTAAAATTCAGTTTTATGCATCTTAGATTAATGCTGCCTTGTTCATATGACAAATGGAGTGCTCAAGATTTTGCATTCTTTTGTGCACTTTTGGGACTACTATGCAATGAAGTCTGGTTAATCTCTGGTGAACACCTGTACACTTTGAATTTTTATGGTATGGTATATTTTCAGTGTTTCATAAAAATGAATTGGGTAATTTAGCTGTTATGTGTCTAATCAAAGCTCTCTTTCAGGTTCAGGTAGTCAGTTAATTCTGTAGACTATGGTGTAAATGTGGCTCTAGGCAATTACTGTAAGGAAAATAACTGAGATACACAAAGCCACCTATACATATGTACTTCATAGTGTTGGGATTAATACTCAAAATTCTCAATTTCTAGTCTTTCATATGAGCCAATAAGCTGGGGAAAAATACTCATTTAATTTCTCTAGAATATTCTTGTTTGGTCCAAGAGGTCCATCTGCCTCAAAGTAGTTGTCAGTACTGAGTATGTTATATAAATCACTAGTCATTTATCAAGCACCTGTTGTGTGCCAGCCCCTGTGCTTGGCATTGAAGATATAAAAACAAAAATGAAACAATCCCTACCCGTAAGGAGCAATCATTGTAATAGTGGAGACAATCTGTACTTAGAACAATTTCTTAACACTTACTTTCATAGTAATCAACAAATATTTATTTAGTAACTCCAATAAAAATTGTCCATTATTTAGTGCTATGAAATATGAGAAGAAGAATATTGCATGGTTCCTTCCTTCAAAGAGCTTACTGTTTAGTTGGGGAAGTAAGATACATACATATGAAAAGTTAGACAAAAAAAAAATACCAGGTTGTTAATATAGAATGACGGTCACGTGAATGAACATGACAGACAGTATGTGGTGTAGTAGTTTAGAGGGAAAAGAAACCATTTGGTGGCCAAGAAAATCCTCATCTAGAAGCAGTATTTGGAAGGCAAGATTTGGGTATGTGTCAAGGAGAGGAAATGGTAGTGTGTGTGTGTGTGTGTGTGTGTGTGTGTGTGTACGTGTGTGCGTGTACAAATATAGTAAGATATAAAGTGTATTTATGGAAGGACTGTGACTTAAATGGAGGAATGTGAGCTTAAATGGAGCACAGAATTCATGTTGAAAAGTTTTAGGAGATGAAGTTGAGAAGGCAAAAAGATGGAGATCAGATTATAGAGGTCTTTGAATGCCAAACTAAGGAGTCTGGACCTTGTTATATAGTCTGGGGAACTCAACAGTTTTTGAAGTGTGTCCTGGTAAAAGTGGACTTTTAGTGAGATTAATCTGGCAGAGGTATGCAGTATAGGTTGGAGGGGGAAGGAAATGTAGGGAGACCAAAACATTGTAGTTGTAGCACTTTCAAGGTGCTGAGGGACTGAATTAAGGTGGCAAGAGTGGGAAGAGAAAGAATGAACAGATCTGAGAACCAGACAAAGAAACAAGTATTCTGTATAGTCCATTTAGTCTAACAATTCAAAATGTACTTCTGAAATACTTAGTAAATGCAGTCTGCTAGGTCCTGGGGCTCCAGAGATAGCATAAATAGCAACCAAATAGTCCTTGCCCTCAGGGAGCTTACATTATACTGGGAAAGTACAGATTTACTTACTTATAAAACATTGAAGTAAATTCAGGGTAACTTTAGAAATGAGAGCACTAAAACTGAGAGGATCAGAAAATTTATCACTTAGGAGGCAGCACCTGCACTGTTCCTCAAAGGAAGCTAGGAGTTATTTAAAACAGAGGTGAATAGGGATGGAATGTTGAATTGGGGGAAAAAACCGCTAGGCCAGTTTAGCAAAAAAATTTGTTGTTCAGTCATGTCTGACTCTTCGTAATCCTATTTGGGGTTTTCTTAGCAAAGATACTGAAGTGGTTTGCCTTCTTCAGCTCATTTTATAGATGAGGAAACGGAGGCAAATAGGATTAAGTGACTTGCACAGGATCATACAGCTGCTAAGTATCTGAGGCCAGATTTGAGCTCAGAAAGTCTTCTTGACTTCAAACCTTGCACTCTATCCACTGTACAACCTAGCTGCCCCTTAACAAAAAGTAAAGTATTTCAAAAGGAATAGTATTAAATAAGTCTCAAAATGTAGGCGGAAATAAAATTGGGAGCAAGTTCTCCTGATCCTAGAAAGAAACCACTAAAATTTTTTGAGCAAGGAAGTGACAGTGAAACTGTACTTTAGGAATATTAAATTAGCAGTTACATGAAGAATTGATTCGAATAAGGAGACTAGTTAGGGACTGTTAAAGTACTGTGGATGAACAGTCATGGAGGCCTTAACTAAGGTGGTGGCTGTGTGAGTAGAAAAACTGAATACTGTAAAAGATCTTGTGAACGTGACATTGACAACTTGGAAACTGACTGGATATGGGAGTGCTTGTTGTGTAAAAGGATGACCATTCATCCAATACCACTGGTGGTATTGAATTTTTAACCATACTACCATTATTAAAAACAACAACAGATAAAACAAAAAACCCTTTGTGAGGATCCACATTCAGTTATTTCTGTGTTTGTAATCTCTGGAGGAGTGGGTGAGTGGGGGGAAAGGGGAAACGATTTGCATTGAAAATTCTGAGTGGAAGGATCTTAGGATCCCTAAGATCAGAGATCTAGAGCTTCAAGGGCTCTTAGAGACTATTTTGTCGAGGGCTCTCATAAATAAAAATGAGATCATTGAGGCCAGGGAGGTTAAGGGATTGGTCTGTGGTCACACAGGTAGTGAGTGTCAGAGGCAGGGTATAAACCTCAGTCTTCTGATTCCAGAGCCAGTTTGTTTCAATTAACAAGCATTCCTTAAGCCCCTCTTATGTGCCAGGCACTGTGCTGAGCTCTTGGGATGTAAAGAAAGGCAAAAACAGTTCCTGCCCATAAGAAACTCATCCTCTAATGGGAAGACAACATGAAAATAACTAGGTACATCTAAGATAAATATAGAGTAAATGGAAGGTAATCCCAGAAAAGAAGGCCCTAGGAGCTGGGGCACTGGGAAAGTTGCCATGCTATAACAATTCTTAAGTTCTGTATAGGAGATATATGCTATGTCTCTAAAAAGCTGTTTATGTGACAGTGTGCAGAGTCTATGAATATAAACTCTTTGTCTTCAGGCTTTTCCCTAAATATTTTAAGATCTTATCTTTTTTAGGGATGATCAGAAATTTCTACTAGTTCTCTGAGGAAGCAGAAACTATAACACAGTGTTTTTGTTATTGCTGTTCAAAAAAATTTATTATAGTTAAATTAAAATGTATACATCCCACTCTTAAAAATCAAACCACAGTGTGCTGATGTGATAATTTAATTCCATGTGCTTGGGATAAATTGAAGAACAATTTTCTTACATTGAAATCTGAGGTTCGATAAATTTAAGTGAATGATTTCCCCACTTCTAAAACTCTGGTGTCAATTTCAAAACTGTGTGGAGGATCCAGTGTCATTGTTCC